ATATGCTTTAAAATAACAGTATGAAGACAAAAGCTCCTCCCCTCCTTGCATCTCCCCACACCAGATCACCAGCTCTTTTTTTTCTGTGTCAACGCAGCAATGATTTCTTGTTATTGAGGCTGTTGCTTTACGGATGTGTGATTTTAATTTTCAATAAACTTTTGCATCTTGGTTTATCTTGCAGTTTTTCTTTTCTGTCTCTTTTGCTTTTTTTTAATTCCTTAAACACTAGATATTTTTATTTAAATGCCTGAAGTACATGTAGAAGTCTAAAGAACAAGAAGAAAACAGTCACTGGTTCTGTCTACACTTCTGTCAGTATTTGGCACTTTTATTTAAGATATTCTGTATCAAGGTCATCAATCCTAAAAATAAATTTCAATGCCTACACTCACCTGAAGATGTTTTAGCCCTATGTGTGTTTAAGGTCATTATAAAGAGCTAGACACTATAGTGTCGTTTGTTAATATATCTTAAGTTGCAAATTTACCAGAGTTTAATAAAATCCAAGTTTATTAACTAATTTGACTTCCATGACATATTCATTAGCAAATATTCATCCAGAAATCTGTAGTAAACCCTGTTATCTAATGCTTTAAAAAAATTACAGTATGTTCTGATCTTTGAATAATTATTTTAAAAGCTTCAAAATAATTGTCTTGTATAAAAATAATTAATCAAGGAAGGACCTTAGATAAATACCTCAGAAAAAACATTTTTTATGTTAGCAATAAAAGTATATTAGTAAAATTAGATCTTGTTATATTGGTAAATTGTTTTCAATTAATCTAATAACTTTCTAATCATTTTTAAGGGATTCAGAAATCCCTTAAAGGGATAATAAGTGTGCTTAGTTTTTTAACATTTAATTTTTCTTTCAGAAGTATTTTTTCTTTCATGCTATTTTTATGTAAGTTTTCAATGTGTGTATAGTATATATACATTTTCTATAAATGCATATATTTGAACTGATGAAATATATGCTACCTTTTGTCTTTACAAGTAAAATTACCCAATTAGAAAGAAAGGTTATAAGCAAGGTACTGAGCAAAATTTAGAGGAAAAAAAATTCCTTTTCTGGTGTTCCATGTCTTCCCTTTTTTTACCTTTCTCATACCAGAAGTATTTTGTTCTACTCCAATATCCCTTTCTCCTCTTTGAAATGGTTTGATTCTGAGAGAAAGTATGCACTCCAGAAATAGTTTAGTGAAATACTTACCCCGAGGTAGTACCAGATTCTACTATGGATTTGCTTTTTAGTTGACAATGGAAGATTTAAGGCAAAAGGAGGAATATGTGGCAGAATTCTAGGCATCTCCAGTCAGGTGAAGATTACTTTACATTTAGGTCTTCTCAAAAATGTTGACTCTCTACCACATAGATAGCCACTGGACTTGATATCAAGAAACTCATTTTCTAATCCTGAAATCTTAAGATCACTTAGAGTCTGAGATACTGACTTTTATTCTGCACAATGTATATAGACAATTAAATCATTAGTGTTAAGACCTGGGGCTTGACTTTACTAGGATTTCTCCTCAAAAGTAAAAAATACATGGAACATGCTTTTCTACATCTCTGTTATATTGAATTCCTAGAAAAATGTAGTACACCTCTAGAGAAAACAGCTTGAGGCTTACACCTTGTTATTTTTCTGAGGAGAGCTGTGTTTTTACCTTGTTTGTTTTGGGGGCTATTTTTGGTGGTGGAAGGTCAGAGAAAACCATAATGGCACAGGTCCTGCTGTCCTCAAAAACTTCTTCCATCTCTTCAGATTCCCTAGCAGTCTTTGGGATTATCTACTCAAGGACTGTGATGTATTGGAAAGAAAAAAAAAAGGTTGTTCTTCATTACAACAAAGGTATTCAGCCTTGCTCCCTTTTCTGCATTACATAGCAATTAGAATGCTCCTTCTATTTCAGACATTGTAAACAGTAATAAATGACTGCCCTGACCTTCCTCCCTGTGGCTTTCACACTCACCTCTGTAGTAAACGAGACACATTCAGAATTCCTGGCCTTTTCAGACTTTCTTATCCCCATTCATCCACTCACCCGAATGCCTGGATTTGCTCCATTAAGAATTCTTGCCACTTACTCTATTAATTTTTCAACTGATGCCTCTTATCTCCTTAATCAGATTTGGAGTTGTAAACATTTAGGTCTGGAGGGGAAGAGGGAAGGGAACCGATTTTTTGAGTACTACAAGTTAGGGGGCAATGTCCATCTCATTTAGTCATCACACCAACTCTTTTATGGTGTGTATCATGCTATCTACAGATCCGGAAAATGAGACTCATGAGACTTGCATAATATATCCAAGTCACTTAATTTATGTCAGACCTAAAAGGTGAACCTAGACGTTTTGGTGGACTCCAAAATTTTAGTTCTTTGTTCATCTGCAATTTCTGACCCAACTTCCTTCCTTAAAAGTAGTTTAGATAGACTATTATAAATGAAGTGATTAAATGTCAAAAATGGAAAAAGAGAAGGGAATTATAACAGGATTTGGGAATAAGCATCTACTAAAACCAAGGGTTCAGGGAAAATGCAAAGCTTTTTTATTGACTTAAAATAAAAAATCAAAGCCTTCCTATATTTGTATTTTTATCATGATGGACCTTAATGGTTCAAGCAATGCTTCACTTAGATCTTCTATACACTTGATTGATATAGGGGAATAAGAGAGATGAATAGAGGTTTCATTACATGACAGAGGACCAACCTGTCTCTGTGGTCTGGGCAACCTGGCATCTTACATGGGGAAAGAGAGGAGCAGCACCAGGCAAAGCTTGCCTTGGCCGCCTTGCCCTGTGCTTTTTTGTACTCTGATAAGGACTTGAGGTGTTCCTAAGCATATCCAAGTGTGTTCTTATGTAAGACTCCTACACGGGGAAGATTTGATGACAGTGTGGGCTTCCTTTACTCCATCCTTTGCTCTCTGGTCTGTCTTGGTCTCCTACATTTCTCTTACCACTTTACCCATTTCTTGATTCTGTAACCTGTTGCCCATCACTATCTTATTTTTGGGAAGATGCTAGAGAATGAAAGAAAGAACTCTTGGGCTAGGACCCAGGTGACCTGTCAACTCATCATTTGGCAATGTGTGGCTTGGCCACATTTTATTTCCTAGATCCTTATGTTTTCCCATGTATATGTAGGCATAGGAATTTCTGCCACCCCATGTCCTCCATGATGCGCGAATCATTCAGAAAATGGATAAAGAACTTGGTAATCTGAAGACTCTTACAATTGGGAGTGTTTATTATACAAATACCTGTTTATATAACATGGATCTATAATGTGAGTTCCTGAGAAGAGTTAACATAAAAAAATCAGTATCTTCCTACCTTAAAGGTAGTGCTTATGAAATGCAGCTAAATTGTAATTGCACATTAATTGTCATACTCATTTATGTAAATACATATGCATTATATTGTTTGAATTCCTCTCGTTGTGGCTCTACAATGACATGGAATGGGGCCTTCCCTGGCTCCTGTAAATATGGAGAATACGGACGGACAGCTTCACAGACCAAGCACACCACTGTAGCACTCAGGTGCTAGAGCCACTTTTTATTATTTTCTTCAAACATTATTGTACCATTTTGTTTGGCACCTCAGTTCATTTATAGAGGCTTTAAAATATGTGTGATATATATGCAAATAAAAATCAAACATTTACATTTTTTTCTCTCTCATCTAATATAAATATGGCTACAGCAGGAGGAGACAAAATAATACATTGTGTTTGAGGAGTGTAAGAGGGGAACGTATCTCACCATAGCTTAGAAACATGCTCAAAAGCCAGTCCTCATTCTGTTGTCATAGTAATTACTCACCCTAAATGCCTTTAGTCTATAAAGTTCTTCCTCATCATCTTTTTCAGCTCTCAGCATACCCTTACAAGGTAGCTTGAATTATTATACCTGTGTAGCCACTAATCTATAAGCTGCTCTAAAATGAGACCATTTCTTATTAGTTTTCCTACCTTTACTATCTAACTCATGTGGTAAATGTATATGTATTTAGTTTATACTGCTTTCATCTGAGAAAACAAAAGCAGGGATTTTTGATGGCTTGCACAGGGACCTGTAGTTTCCTAAAATATGCTGGAAGAAGACTTAAGCTTTGATTTTCTGACTCTATATCCTTCCCTGATTCTAGCAGAAATCACTAGTTCTGTATGCAAAGGAAAAGTCAGGAATGGCAGCTGAGTAGGGAATTTCCTATGTAACAATGCATAGTATAACAAACCAATTCTAGTAAGTTTCCAAATGGAAGCTATGCAGAATAGAAAACTGTTCTGTTTTTTTCCCCTTTGTCTCACAGGAGACTCACAGGAAGTCAACAGAACAGTCTTTTGGGCTCCAGGGTTCTCTAGTGTGAAGAGGCTGTTGGCATACTGGTGGGCTCCCTCGTGGCCCATGAACATTTAAGCTGAGAAAGCATGCTTCTATGTTGGGGCCTCTGCATGACGGCAGGGTGTGCTGCTAAGTGCCCTGTGCGATCAGCTTTGCAGTTATTTCCTGCATATCCCCAGTGGCCTAGGAAGCTACAAATGAAATGCCTCAGCTGCAATTTGAGCTGGGGATCTCTGTGTCTTTCTAAGCCACTGGGTCTTCATTCAGTTCTTTTCCCTTATTGGTTTTCAAGCTAGTTTGAGTTGAAAATCAAGAGAGGGGAAAAGGGATAGAGAAAAAAATAGAGGAAAAACAGAGAATGCAATTATTTTCCATTTTACAAAGGAGATGCTTTAGTAAGATATTCACCTTTGTACTCTACACATTCAGGAAAAATAGGATTTGATGATAGCCTTGTGATCCCTCCCTAGTCAGAAATTTCTCAGATGCATACACAAATAACTTGTCATCAATCCTGGAAGAATAATTTTCAAGGGTACAGTTCAGGGCCATGTTTTAGTCTGAGACTCGTTGAAAATGACCTGTCCTCACTCGTCAGTGTCCCGTGCTCACCATCATTCCCATGTTTATGTTCCTAGGACCTCGATGCAGTCTCAGTCTTCATACGGTAACAGCTCCCCACCTCTGAACAAAATGAACAGCATGAACAAGCTGCCTTCTGTGAGCCAGCTTATCAACCCTCAGCAGCGCAACGCCCTCACTCCCACCACCATTCCTGATGGCATGGGAGCCAACAGTAAGAGCATCTCCTTGTGGCTGCAGCTGATGGACCAGCAGAGCTAGTGGAGGGGAAGTCTCTGCTCTGGGAGAGGGGAAAGGCTTGCTCTTAAGCTAAGTAAGAAGCTCAGTGGGACAGAACAGATGGAAGTTGAGGGGCTTGAGCTTTTTCCCACTTTTGAGGTGTGTGGTTCATTACAAAGCACATTGGTAGAGATGGAGAAGGCTGTTGCTTTCCAGGTAGGGATAAGGATCTCTGTGAAAAGAACAGCCCACTTCTGGTCAACCTGGAAGGGGCCTACATCCTTTGAGATAGCCAAAATGAAATATATCCAACATGTGGGAGGTAGCATGGTGCAGTGGACTTAAAATCTAAAGAAATAGATTGTAGTCTGGACTCTATTAGTATTAGATGAGTGTGTAACTATGGACATGTCACCTCTCTGCTTTAATGCTCAGTTTCCCATTCATGAAACGATTACTCTGCACATTTGACACGGTGTAACTCTGAGTCCCTACAGTCTTCGTCTTCTCAACTCACTTATTCTATACCATCCACCGTTGTTAAGGAATTGACATAGAGAAAGGAATTTCTCTTTTACTTATTCACACACAAATTCCTCATCATCAACAAAGTATAGCTATAGGAGACAATGTGAGAAGTGGGCCTCCAGTGGATGGTGACTGGAACAAAGCTTTGCTGTAAATATACCTGCCTTGCCCACAAGAACTAAATACAGCAAACTTGATATGAAACTAGAAATAAAAAAGGGATGGTAAAAATGCAGAAGGATGTATAATGTCCTCAGAGATGCAAAAGGCTGAGCACAGTACATGTTATCCTATAATTCCCAACATTAAAGAAAACCCTTCAAATTTTCATTTCAGTATCATCTTGAAAAGACTGAGTTTTCTTAATAAATTAAGAAGGCTAGGATTGTGACTTTCTATTGTCTGACGGCTATTTATGTTTTAATGAGAGAGAGGCGGCATGGTTCCCTGGAGAGACAATGGTGACCTTAGAGCCAGTCTGCTCTCTCACTAGTGGTAAATGCACCTTAAGCCTCAAAATCTGACCCCTTGACAGGTCTGCTACTTTGACCATAAAAGGAACAGGAATCAATTATTTTTTTCACTTTCTTTTCTTTTTTTGTGGTATCTTAGAGTCCTCAACTTTTAATTGGGATGACACAATAGTGATAATAGTGATGATCCTTTACATTTGTGTCACTTCCATGTTGCCCACTTTTTCTCATTTACACTTCACAATTTTCCTTGGATGTCCTCAGGGAAGTCAGAGGGGAAACCAGTGAGACACGACAAGCCTGTGCACATTCGCTGGCCAGGTGGCGTCGGAGGCCTTCCCCCTTTGGCACACTAACATTCACTAAAGTAGAGGGGAATTACATTCATCTTTTTGTAGCTATGTTACTATTTTGCTCTTTGACCTGAAGACATTTGCTTATTTGTTTAATGAAAATCATGGGTATTAAACTTATCTTCTCTGTAAAGGAATGTTTATAATTATGGTTTAGAAAAAAAAACAATCACTGTAACCCTTAAATGGACAATAAGAAAGAGCTGAAATTTTTAATTGCATCCTTCCTTATTAGGCCTATGGTCCCCTACAAATATTACAATAAATCTTCCTATTCCCAAACAAATATTCCAAAGGTCACTCTGTCATTCACAGATTTGTTCATCTGTTCATCTAACCTAAGTTTTCTGAGCATCTGCTCTGTGCCAAACATTGTGTTACAGTCTGGGGGTATCTAGACACATATAAGGTCTAAACTCCAGGCTTAAGGAGATTAGTCTAGTGAGGGAGACAGAAATATAACCCATGAAGGCAAAAACAAAGGGGTCTACATTAACCTCAGGAGCAATGAGCAACTGGACTGTGCCTTAGAAGTAGAGAAGGAAGGGAAGAGATTGTCCTAAGAGAATGCCCAGGGATCAGGAAGTGTGTAATTAGTTTGGAGATTGGTGACTGCTTTGCTCATTGAGATGCAGGGTGCTTGAACAGACACAGGGACAAGACCCAAGAGGAAAGCTGGTAGAATAGGTCCTTGTAAGTGTAAACCAGGTCAGATGGACCCCTGGGATGCTGGGATGTGATGACTGCAGTAACCCTGTCTGTTCTTCCTGCTTCTGTTCAGTTCCTATGATGGGCACCCACATGCCAATGGCTGGAGACATGAATGGACTCAGCCCCACCCAAGCCCTCCCTCCCCCACTCTCCATGCCATCCACCTCCCACTGCACCCCCCCACCTCCGTACCCCACAGACTGCAGCCTTGTCAGGTGAGTTCACAGCATGTGCCCCTGCGGGCCTGCCCAAAACATCTCTGGGTGGTGGTGGGTGGATGCTGTCAAAGTCAATAGCACAGTTGGAAAGAAAGAAAGCAGCCCTATGGTTGAAGTTCCACCACTGTTCTCTCTGATCTGTGGAATGATCACCAGTGTTTAATCAAGGAAAAACCACTATAATTGCATGCAGAAAAGTGAAAATGCAGGTTTATAGGCATAATTTTTCATGCCTGTTCTCCCCATCTTCAGTTACTCCCTCCTGCCTCCCTCAGAGTTTTACATTGTCTATTGTGGCCTTCAAATTGGTGCTCAGGGCTGGGGTTCCCACAGAGGGCCATGAACTTGCTATCTTTCTCCCTTTCCTGCTCTCTAGGCCTCATAGCTCTCAGCCACCATGGGATCATCATTTTGCAGTTGTCCATAAAAAAATTTTAATGTTAGCAAAAATGGCAGGCATTTTCAAGAACCTGACGGTCTCCACTGCTTTTCCATATGGAAACGGGTACTTCCTAGGCAGGGAAGTTTAGGTAGCCAGAAGACAGAAATGCATGGAACCTGACAGATATTTCCCATAGAGGCATGTATCATGCCTTGTGCACGTCATCTGCCCCTGCTTCACATGCAGAATGATTCTCTCATTTGTCCACCGGAATAATGTGTGTCAATCCCCATGTGATTGACACAAGAGTGCCAGCAGGGTCTGTCAGCAAGATGGCGAATTGCATGGCTTATCGCACCCAGCATCTGGTGGCATCAGCAGTGTGGGACCAGCACTGATAAGGAGGTGTCTGTATTCTGAAGAGGACATAAGTTGAAAAAGAAGTATTTATAACTTCGTAGTACAGTGGCCTGCAATTTTTTTTCTAAACCATTCTCAAAAATCCCAAATACAGTTAGAGTAGAGATGATGCTCTTTTGGAAGTGAGGAGCCAGGAGGTGAGCAGGCAGAGACACTGATGACTGGACTCCTTCCTTTCACTCCTGCAGTGGCCCCTAAGGCACCTCCATAGAACCCCTAGAATTCTATCAGTTACTGCTTGAAAATCACTGCTCCTCAGGAATCCTCACAGTTGATTTTAATTTCTGTGGACCTGAAGTTCAAGTCACTAATCATCCCCAAACCTCAAATCCAAGGCCCACATATTTATTTCCTGCCCCAGTCACTCTTATAGGGCATCCAGGGGAAAATGTTGCGTTTTCTTTTACCTCGCCGATGCCGTTGGGGTGAACTTTTCTTTTTCTGTTTCCTCCTTCCTCTTCCCTCCTCCCTCTGCAGTTTCTTAGCGAGGTTGGGCTGTTCATCATGTCTGGACTATTTCACGACCCAGGGGCTGACCACCATCTATCAGATTGAGCATTACTCCATGGATGTAAGTAACTGTTAGACTTTTCTCTTGAGTTTCACTCCTTCGTTTCCTCCGTCTGGTGACAGCCACCCTGTAGTTCAATTCCTCTTGGTTTTAAAATTTGTTATTGTCTTATCCCTGCCCTAATCCTCAATTTTGATGGGACCCATACCCATATCAGAAACATTCCTAGGCCTCAGCCTGTACACCTGAGAAGCTTAGCAGTCAGTCGTCCTCAGCTTGTCTGAGGAACCGACCATTGTCCATTGCATACTATGTGCAGAGTGGGAAAGAAGACATCTAATTCCCACCTTCGAGGAATGTGTGATCTCTAAAGAATTCAGATAACATTTTGAATGTTTAGACCCCAGGAAGGAAAACAGGAAGCAGGTTGATTTTATTCTCACTTTAAAACATGGAGAGATGGTAACAGAGTCATTTGCCATGATGAGCTGATGAGGGAACCAATACTAGAAAACTGAGGTGTAAGCTTCTGATCTTTAACTCTGTTAACTGGCCTGTTCTGCTTTTCTTTAACACAGGACCTTCTGTAGGGGTGGGGGTTTCATCTGTTTCTCTCAATGAGAGCCGTATGCTCACTCATTTTCAGCTCTATCAAAGCAATGAACACAGGAAAAGATCACTGGTCAGGGGCTCCAGTTCCAACCATGCTTTTTAGTAGCACTGAGAACGTGGGGTAATCAATCACTTTGCCTCTCTGGGCCTCAGTTTATCAAACTGGGTTCAAAATCACTCCCTTCCAGCTTTGATATTCTTTCATTTGTTTTTTGTTTTGTTTTGTTTTGTTTTGAATGAGCTGGATGGGTGGGGACTTTTTCTTGCTTCCTATACCTTTTCTTGAGCAACTTTGCATGGGGAGCTCATATTGTTTTGGTTGATGGCAAGCTGGTTTACCTCTGGGCTGCTCTTCATGCTTCTCTCTTTGGGGTTTACTGTCCTCTCTTCCAGCTTCCAGAGGGCCTCTGGCCTGGTGGAAGAAGATACTCTCTGCCTCTGCTGCCGCTTCTGTAGTTGGGACCTCCTTCTTCCCCTCCTTGAGCACCGATACTAGAGATGCCCCTGTAGCATGACAGTGCCCAGCCCTGTGGTGCCAGGAATGTGCTGTGCTGCCCCTATGCCCAGCCCTCGCTATCCCATAAGTCATCCCTGTCTGCTGCTCCCTGATGGAATAAATGATCAGTAAAAACTATAGAGAGAGAGCTTTGCAGTAAGTTCCAACAGGTTTCGGAAAACTTTACAGTGACATCCATCCAGTGAAGAGAGCAGAGCTACTCTGTGTTTGAGAGCCCCACATGATGAAATGGGGCGTTTGTCCCTTCCCTGTGTTTTTAAAGTTTTAACTTCCACTTGCTCACTTGTTCTGCCTGGGGAGTGTGTCAGGACTCTCCCTTGGCTGTTGAGATCCACAGATACTCTCCACAAGCCCATCTCCACTGGTGTTGGCCAGGTCTTGGGCCACTCTCTGGGCCACAGCTTTCTCCCCTGTCATTTATAAATTCATATCTATCCAGAGAGTCATGAAGATTAATGGAACCTAGTATATAAAGAGTTTTGGACTTATTGGGGCTTATTTCAAAAGCATAAAGATCTATGCTTACTTATCTATTTATGAACTACCTTCTTTATAATGTATTCTTCTGCTAGAATAGGAAATCGGGATGCCCATACTGCAAAATTCTGAATTGGAAAATATTGGGAAACTCTCTAATTTCTGCATCCTCACCTCAGCTTCTTCCATCTCATTACTGGAAATAGATACCTCTTTTCAGCTTGTCTAAGTTTGGTATCCCTTTCAGGAAAAAGGATGTGGTTAAATTTGGGGAGTTTTCATTAAGTATCCCCTCTAAGAGGCAAGGATGGGTTAATAATAATATAATATAGTAATAATATAAATGGTTAAGATTTATGTAGTGTGCTTTATAATTTGCAAAATGTTTTCATACCCACACTTACGCATGAGTCCACAATATATGTTGACCAAGAAAAGGAATTGTATCCCAATTTACCACTGAAGGTCAGTAGAGAACAAGTGACTCAGTGAAGGTCTAGAGTCAGTCAGTGACACGATAAGAACCTCTGTCAAGTTTTCTGACTCCAAGCACAATGATTTTCCTATCCACAATGCTGCTCCATAAAAAACACGAGCCATTATTGACACAAGCTAATGAAGGGCTAACACAGATAAATGTAAGAGGTGCCACTGGGAAGACGACCTTTCACCACCATCCACAGAACACTGACACATACTTTGCATTTTGATACCCTGATTTATACAAACACCAAGAGACCTTTTGGCCATTAGGGCAGTTTTAGGCTCAGAGGTGGTCCTGAATCCCTACAAGTCATTCACTTAGTTGTACACCTTTAGCCTTAACCTCTCTGAACTTCAGCTTTTCTATCTATAAAATAGGTAGTAAGATCTACCACTAACCTGAGCACCAAATGAGATCATGACTATAAGTTAGTTCAGTGCCTGGAGTGTACACTGTGTTCAGTACTGACTAGTATCTTTTCTTCTCATTGCCTCCTTTAATTGGTGGTGACATTCCATTAATATCTGTCTTCTACTGACTAGAGCCATGTAGATTTGTGAGTGGGAAGTAAAACTATCTTGTACTTTTGTTTTGGGACTTTTTGCCCTCTGATCTAACTCCTCTCCCTGTATACCAATGAAGAAACTGAGATTGGTAGAGAATAAGTGAACTGTTATCCACAACAGAGATGGCACCTTAAGGCTATGCCTTTGTGCCTGGTTATGTATAGTGCCAAAAGTCATGAGAGAGCTAACTTGATTTTACAATTGAAGGTTCAATATAAATTCAAGTCAGTTAAGCCAGAGCACTGGGGGGATGACCAAATGGTGTGGACTAAACGGTCACTTGTCTCTTGGTCCTAATTCTCCCTGATGCCCTTCTCTATTGCTCAGGATTTGGCAAGTCTAAAAATTCCTGAGCAATTCCGACATGCCATCTGGAAAGGCATCCTGGACCACCGGCAGCTCCACGATTTCTCCTCCCCTCCCCACCTCCTGCGGACCCCAAGTGGTGCCTCTACCGTCAGCGTGGGCTCCAGTGAGACCCGGGGCGAGCGTGTGATCGATGCTGTGCGCTTCACCCTCCGCCAGACCATCTCCTTCCCTCCCCGTGATGAGTGGAATGACTTCAACTTTGACATGGATGCTCGGCGCAACAAGCAGCAGCGCATCAAAGAGGAGGGAGAGTGAGCACTGCAGTGTGAGCTCTTCCAGTCTCTTCCCATCTGCACACCTCCCTGCAAGGCACTACTGCTTGACATTCAATGTATTCTTCCTAGTTCCTCTCCTTTCTCTTCCCAGTCTGATTTCTTAAGAGAAGGAGAAGTGAGAGGCTACCTTTTATCTACCTGGCATCTGATTCTGATTCTGGCTTTAAGCCTTCAAATCTGTTGCTTGCAGGACCGAAGTTGTCGTAGCTAGGTAGAAGTGAGCAAAAAAGCCGTCGGTGTCTCCCTAAGCTGCAGAGCTGTCTCATGGACTTTCGTAAAGCATTTTCACCTTTATAGTCTAAGACTATATATATAAATATATAAATACCTGGTATATATTTTTGGGTGGGGGCATTGAGTATTGTTTAAAATGTAATTTAAAGGAAAGGAAATTAAGTTGCACTTGCTGACTTATTTTTTTTAGTTTACTTGTTTTGGATGGCTTATCTATACTTCTCTCAAGAAATACCATTGTGCTCATAGGTACCTAGTGTTTTATGGCACATGTGAGTGAAAAAGCTGTATTAAATCCCTCCAGTTATTTTGATGCTAAGCACATGCTATATCAAACCTTTGGATAGATTCAGATTATACTGACCATTACTTATTATGTGGGTGAGACTATATACATATGTGCACAATTTTCTATGTCAGTTTACTTCATGCTACTGACATCCCTACTCTTAATGATGGTTTACCTTGGGACTAGGTAGTCCAATTGTAAGAAAAAGTCCATGTTCACACTATCACATACTAGAGGTAAGGAAATACTCTCCCTTACTTTTAGTTGGGAATGTGGAATGTGGGTCATAGCAAAAATTCTTAAAAGTCCATGCAGCCAATTCAAAAACACCCAGTATCATATATCTGGATATATTGGCAATGCACCCCCACCACCACTTCTGCTTCATATTTAATTCCAGATGCCTTATCTCTTTGTATTTATTGGGAAAATGTATGTTGCCATTATAGAAGCCTTAAAATTAAATTTTACTATTAGACTGACTAACTCAGTTACACATATGCTACCTTTATTTGAATTAAGGTTGATTTGATTGGAATGAATGCCATCAATCTAGTTCTTATAGTAAAGTTGTAATATCTATTAAAAAAAGCCAGGAAAACCAGGAATCATATAGAAATATTGAATCTCCACTAAGCAGTATGAGATTTCAGAAAGCCACGATCTGAAATTCTTGGAAGACTTTTTGAAATATAGATGATATTTGGCAAATTTTTCATTTGAAGTCCCTCTTATTTTATAAAATTCTCCAAGTAGAGGCTTGTTTTGTCTTTCTCTTTCCAGGGTTAAAATAGGAGCAGTGATTCAGAAAACATAAGATTATGATCAATTTTTTAATGGCATCGGTTACATCATTATATCACTTTTCTTTTTTTGACCAATAGGAGTTGCGCTTTATCTGACAGAACCACTCTCTTCTGGACTGTGCAGGGGACATAAAAATGTCCCCAGAGATCAGGAGTGAGTCTTCCATGAGAGGGGTTGAACCACATAAACCAAGAGTTGTTTTCAGACTTTGGAAAAACATGAAAATGACAATATTCCCCTAGATCTTCCAAATACACTTTGTAGCAATTTTTTTCAGACCATAAATAGATATTTTGTATATATGCTAATGAGCTCTAAAATCCTTCCATGAATTCTAGTAAGGGGCTATCATTGCACATAAGCTTCCATTTTTAATTTAAAGTGCAAAAGGGCTAATGTGGCTCAAAAATATAATGTATGAGTTTCATCTGAAAAGTGTATATATGTTTTGTTCGTGAATTTGCATACTTTGTGTTTTGTGAAGTTGCATACTTTTTTTTTCTTCCTGGGATAGCGGGTTTTCCAGAACCACAGTTGAAACTTTTTTATTATTATTATTGTTTTTTATATTTTTATGGAACCACCATTTAGTGAGACTACAGTGTCAAATAAGAAAAGATGCTGTAACTGTCAGATGGGGGGAAAGGGAAGTAGTTTTTTATTATTTTTTTTTATTTTGTGTGTTAAAGAGAGTGAGTCCTTGATTTCAAAGTTTTTGTGCTTAAACGATAATAAGCACTGTTAATTTGTGGAACAAGCATGCAGCTTTGAAAACCTATTAGGGGAAGAATGAAAGCTGTGCCTTGGCAATGCTTTGAGGACAGTGGCTTCCTCTAGTGTCCTGAGTGTTTGAATAAACCTAGGACTTCTTTTGCGCTATTTTAGCACTATTTGGATGGCACTAGGGACTCAGAAATTCCTGTACTGTATCTCATGGGTTTGGCATTAGCCAAGGCTAGGCAAAACTACTGATCTTGTGTCCTGGTGGCAAATTATGCAATTTGAGTGTATGAATAGCTAGGATAAGGGGTGAAAGCATAATAAGGGCAGACAAGGGGGAGTGGGCTTAATGGAGTTCTGGTGGCCTCAGCTAAATGCAGTTAGCTGAAGGATGGATAGGTTTTGCTTGAAGGTGATTAGAAACAGAAATGGAGAATAGAACTTCCTTCATTAAATTCATTTACCTTTTGTTTTCTTGATATGCCCCTAAAATACAGTATGTGGGATGTTGAATGTTAAAGGGTTGTGTTTTTTTTATTATTTTTATAATTGTACAAAAATTAAGTAAATGTCAAATGTTTTATATGCTTTATTAATGTTTTTGAAAGTTTCTTTCTTATAGATATAATACTTTTTTTAAGCTTCAGTTGCTTGTCGTTTGGTATTTTGTGTAATGGGCTTTTGGTGAGCCAGAGGCAAATCTATAAGCCACTAATGTTTGCCAGGACATGCAATAAAATTAAAAAATAAATAAAAAATGCATTGAGAAATGGTGTTTGTGTGTGTGTGTGTGTGTGTGTGTGTGTGTGTCTGTCTGTCTGTCCATCCTTTGGTCTTATTTAAATTATTAAGAAAGAGGAAGAGACACTGAAAGAAACTTTACCACATCTCAGAATAACTAATCATTGATTTATTATTTTAGCCCCCCCCCAATCTGCTAAGTAAGAAAGACCAGAAAGATATCATCATTTGGTGCATGAGATGCTCACAGTTTTAATACTCTATTTGGTTGTGATCAGAATGAGTTTTTGGGACAGGTACTTGACCATAAGTATACCTAAGGTCTAATTTAGTGACCTTCCCATAGTGTTCAGCAATGACCTCCTCAGCACTGCAAGGGTGGGATACAGATTACCCTGGTTGTATGTGGGAACAGCATTAATAACTAATTTTACAGAAAAACATTGTGGATAATATGTAATACTGATATTGTTAAATTTATAATGGCATGTATCCACTCTTACAGTATCATACAGGAGTCTCACTGCCCTAAACTTCTTTGGTACTCCACCTACTCATCCTTCTCTCCCCAAAAACTCCTCGTAACCACTTTTACTGTCTCCATTGTTTTACCTTCTCCAGAATGTCATATAACTAAACTCATAGAGTGTGTAGTCTTTTCAGATGGACTTCTTTCTCTTAGTAATACACATAAACTTTCCTCCATATCTTTTCATGGCTTAATAGCTCATTTCTTTCTAGCACTGAATAATAATCCACTGTCTGGATGCACCAGTTTACTTGTCCCTCACCTACTAAAGCATACCTTGGCTGCTTCCAGATTTTGACAATTATGAATAAAGTTGCTATAAACATCCAGTGCAACTTCTTTTGTGGACATAAGTTTTCAACTTCTTTGGGTAAATACCAAGGAGCATAATTTCTGGAATGTATGGTAAGAATATGTTGTATAAGAAACTGCCAAATTTGTATTCTTAGTGCTGTGCCATTTTGCATCCCCATTCACAATAAATGAGAGCTCCCAGTGCTCCACATCCTTCAGAGCATTTGGTGTTGCCAGCACTCTGGATTTGGGCCATTCTAATAGATGTGTAGTGGTATCTCAACATTTTAATTTGCAGCTCACTGATGACATGTGTGGAATGTCCTTCCCTATGCTTATTTTAGTTGACTGGTAAGGTTTTGGGCCCATTTTTTAGCTTGTTCTATTATTGAACTTTAAGAGTTCCAAAACTACTTTTTTTAAAAAAGAATAAAATTTATTTCTTAACAATTATCATAAGGTCTGTGAGACCCTTTTATAAATTTAAAATGCACTATGGAAAGTTAGTGATTTTGTTTTTCCATATCTTAAGACATTTTCTCTTCTTACCATTCTAGGCATCACTTGATCCCTACTTAACAGTCACCAATTCCAATGAGCCAAAGCATAAAAGACTAACATTTAGGAAAAAAGGAAGACTGGTGGAATTGTCCAAACTGTGCTGTCTGACACGGTAGCCACTAGCTGCATGTGACTACTGAGCACTTGATATGTGGCTACTGAAAATTGATACGCACTGTAAGTGCAAAATATGCATTAGATTTCAGACACTTAGAATTTAAGAGCTCATTGATTATTTGTATTATGTGTTAATATAGATTAAATAAAATCTATTATTAAAATTAATTTTACCTGTTTTTTATATTTTACATGCCTACTTGAAAATTTTAAATTATGTGTTTTTCATTATAATTCTATTGTACACTGGCCTAGAAGATGATGTAATAAGAAACCTAGAAGGGTGATGAAATTAACTTACTATTGTATAATTTTCCAGTTTTCTTACTGTGTTGCTCTAATATAGAATAATAGAATAATACAAGAGATATTTATCTTCATAGTCTGCTTTTAGTTTTCCATAAGAATTCAGAATTTTTCATTTTATCCCCACAATGGCAAAGAGATTACAATTGACAGAGGAAAATGTTTCAAAATTGTTAAGTCAGAAGATGAATACAAAGAGACTGTAACACTCTGGGCTCTAATGATGACAGTCACATGCATTTTATAAGTTAAATCTCAGACTGAGTCTACATTCAATGATATACTAAATGAAGTTTTTCAAAAGGCTAAGGGGTTGAGAATATAGTTCTAAGGATAAAAAGGATATATGGTACTCTTGTACAACTTTTATTCAGCAAGTAGAATTTTACCATATGAATTCTGGGTCAAGAACCTGACAATCCTACTTTTCTAAAAAGACATGTGACAGTATTCTTTAGTTCTAATGATTCTTGTACAGAATTTACCTCATATGCTTCACAAGCGGACAAATGCTGAAGGTAAGTATGTCTCTAAAGTAGTTCAAAGAAATAGATGTAGAAATTTAACTCACTGAATTGATCATTTTAATTGGTGTTTATAAATGTAAAAATTAAAATATTTTGCAGTTTTGGTGCAAAGCACATCATCATCCTCTCTTCAACAAGATCATTAGCTATCAAATAATTCCAGTTTTTTTCAAGTATTGCATTTTGATGATTCAAAGTGAATGTCAGAAGTAATGATAAGCTGCAATGTGTCAGAGATGTATTTGAAATCAACTTTACAAAATGGTTATGTCCCAGACTGCATGATAGTTCATGAGCAGTTAATAGCATTTCATTTTGTGTATATATAAAATAATGCAAACAAAAAAAAATTTGATTTACTATACTTCTTATTAAAATTTCTTATTAAAATTTTTATCTCATTATTCTGTATTTCAATCCTATAATTACTATAACAGTTTTAAAAGGATTATTTAGACCCAGATGATAATGGGAAATGACTTTCTTTTTCCTGTTTCAATGTTATTAGAATAACTTACCTAATATTAATAACATATACAACACCAAAGACTTAATATCAATTAAACATTCTTGAATTATCTAAAATTTGCAGAAGACTTCTAAAAGCCAGGGACCACATATATCTGCTTTTGGGTACATTTAGGATTACCTAGGAAAGAAATCCATGGATCCTAGTTGGTATACAAGGCTCTCTTGATAGAAAAATAAAAATGGCATAAAGGGCTGTACATAACTGGTGGGTACATTTTGGAACCTTCCTGACCCAAGGAAGGTACCCTTAATCTTGACTCAGGGCACCCACACACTGGCAGGGGGAGGTGTTCATTCTCCAACTCTCTTTTTCATACTCTACAGTTCTCCTACTAGGTAAACTAGGACATAGGACACCACCAGTCTTGGGTATAGATTTCCCAGCATCCTCTTTGTACCCATAAAAGCCTTAGTATCTATTATTACTTTTCTGAACTTGATTGACATTGTCTTTTTTCCTCGTGCTTCAGACTCTTGGTGCTGATTATGCAATTAGGCAAAGCAGAAAGAATATTGGACTGAAAGAAGTCTGGTGATAGGCCAGTTATTTAATCCTCTGTGCTTCGGTTACAGCATCTGTAATATGAGTTTGTTAGTATTTCAGTAATATCCTTTAGGAGAGAGCTGAAGGATGGCATAAAACAACTCTGCTGACATAGATATGAGGCTGTAGTTTTAAGAGAAATTATAGTCTCAAAGCTCAAAAAGTATATAAATACATATATATTGATATTTTTTTCAGATAAGAATAATTTATTAGTTTAAAGTGGTGCTTTTAGAGTCAATGTTGCATCTGTACTTTAAAGTTACAAGATTTGTAACTCCTCACGCTAATCCAGAATCTATGTGCCAAGTGGGTGGCAAGTACTGGCAAGTGAACTTCTCGCGATTCTGATCAGAAGTCTAGGCCTCAGACCTTGGAGGTACAGCATTTTGTAATTTGAGTAAAAGTTAGATATAGAATACGGAGAGACAGGAAGAAATTTCTAGCAAAGAGAGCTTGACATAGGGAACAACAGATAGTAAATTATTAGTTTTGTGGCACTTTAACTCATCTAATATTTGCTCTGTAATTTTGGGAACACCACATTTATCTGTAAAAGAAAATATGACTTTGAATAGTGGTTTTATATTCCTAAGCTCAAGATACTACCTTCTGTAAGTTGGACATTCTGCCTTACCATTTTTTTTTTATCTAGGTTCACATCAGTTGTATCCATTTTTTCTCCAATTCACCAATGACTTCCTGATATTACTCTGCTTCTTTAATGAGTCAAAGTTAGAGAAAGCCCTTGGAAGTACTCACAACACCAAGGATACAGAAGAGCCAGTATTTTAAGTGAGAATGAAAAGCAGAAAGAGCACAAAGATCAGCCCTTTGTCAGATTCTGGGCTTTGAAATGAACAGGAATTGTGCTGTGTCACTCCACAGGGCCTCCAGCCAAATGCTTTCTGGTTTTGTCCAAAATGTTTGTTCTAAAAGACTCTGGAATTACCATGTCATCAAGGTACCAGCATGTTTGGTATAATAGAACAAATTCTGGTATTCATAAATATCCAACAGAAAGGTTGTAAAAGAATGTTCTAGGAATTTCACTTTTGTGAATCTTACTGAGGCAGGAGCAACCCTAAGAAATCTATTTCTAACACTTGGTGTTCAAAATAATTCTCAGGCCACCAGAAAGTTATGTGTGTGTGTGTGTGTGAGTGTGTGTTTCTTTTTATTATTTTTGAAACGGGGCATCTCAATGTCCTTTTCCCTTGCCTTTTGCTGTTTTCAGAGACTCTAAGGTGTTTCATCCTAAATGGTTTATTCATAAGCAACACAGCCTTAGCAAAATGATGTGAATAGTTGTCTTTGGAACATTCCCACTTCCTTGTCTGTTTCTCTTTCTTCTCTGTACTGAAGACATCCACATCATATTCCTTTCTGCACTCCAACTTGATGTTCCTAGGCAACTGGAATTCCTTCTCTGCTAGGTAGGGCCATGGACCTTTGTACTTTGCCAGAAGTTTCAAGCCATTCCTTGGAGGGAGTGGCCTGCCACCTCATTCTTATTGATGCCACCCCTCAGACCTGTGATACCTTCAAGAGTCACACACAGGGGAGGAAGTCACGTTGAAGTGTAGTCTCACCAGTGCATAGCAGACGGCATCATA